ATAGGTATTATGAGGAGTTTCTCCTGCCTCCGTTGGGGATTTGTGATAATCTCCTTTAGAATGAGTCATGGGTAGATTACCATATTGCCCGCTCTAGGCCAGGATATCCTATATAGGCTATGCTAATAGGTAAAACTCGGGAGGCCTGCCGGTGGACTTGCAATGAGAACAGAGCTTACCTGTGTTTGAGAATTACATTCCTGAGCAGGTGAAAGGGGCAATGATTCATCAGCTGCTCCTCCTGTGCACACATAGAATCAAATCTGCATGCTTATGTCTGGGCTTCAGCTATAAAACATCTCTACACATTTATGAGATGTAGCGTTTACGTGTGATAAGTGACTAGTGTATTTGCTTTTTCACACACATTCTAGGTAAAGATCAACAAACGTGGGCAAAGAAATCAAACAGCAATCTAAATGCTGTGTCTACTCCAAACATGATAATGCAAGCGGCTTAAGAGTCCTTATAGGGATTTCGGTCTAATTCTGGACCAATATCAGTATTTCTACAAACAGAAGTGTCTGTGACATTTCCATGACTTTTGAAGCATCAGTATTTTAAAATTGGACAGTTTACCAGTGTAGCACAGAAAATTATTCATAACTCAGAGCATAAAGTGTTTCTCAAAATGGCAAGAAAAATGTGCCATATAATGTCAGCAGGGAATTATTACTCCGCAGGGTTGATATATAACACACTACTGACACTTTTCGGATCTGTAAAAAAAGAAAAGAAAGAAATCCGAATCCTGGTTTCTATAGAGCTTCTGTTTCTATTTTACATTCGCTATGAATATTTGATTACAAGGTGATTTAATATTGATACATTTCTGTGAAGTTGCTCCTACTTCTTCTCCCCGTCAAATTTAATCTCACATTTCAGAAGCAATGTGCCTCTATCAGCCCCAGCGAAACTACATGCTCAGCAAGCCAACGAATGTGCTCGCTTGCTAAAGACACGTTAGGCAGAAATGAACATATGCACATGCTCATTGCACTCATTAAACTAAAGGTGTATGAAAAACATCGCAGAAGACCATTTATATTAAGCAAACTGAGCTAGCAGAGGGAGCAAGACTCCGTTCCATTGTTTGGTGCATGCGTTGCATGAATAATAACCTTACATAAAACCTTTCAAGATTCATGAATCTCTGTGAAGCACAGCAGATTTCTGTGTCAGGGTTTACGTCCACAGGTCTATTACACAGAATAGAGAATTACTGCTAAAGCAAATTGCTTCACATAAACAAAAACTGTGGCATAAACTCTTTTGCAGAATGTTAGAAAACATTTAAATTAACCTTGAGGTGAAAATTCTGTCATGCAGAAATACTGCTCGCCACTGTTGTGATCAGTTCATAAACTGAATTTATTATTTAGTATTACTTTCATAACCATTTAGAGACACTGTATTACTGCAGATGTCACCCAATCGTGGAAACTGACCTCAACTATTCACCCTGGGATTAACTAGAAACACTTGAATAACGTAACATCAAAGAAGACTAAAGGCACGGAGCCATGCTGGCCTCTGTAGGTATTTGGTCACAAACAATCTTTAAAAACAGTTTGGACCAAAGGGCAGGACGAGCCGATCAGCATCCACAGAGCCGTGCCGCCTGCATGTTCGAAAAACTGTGTTGGACTTTCTGAAGTGTATTTTATATTACAACTCTTGCAAATCTGTATTACTCCTTCATCATTTTAAAGGAAGGTTATGAGAACACGTTTTAGAGAAGAAAGGATCATAGAGGTCACCTTGCTGCAGCAAAACTAAAATGTAATGAATCACGAGGACGGGAATAACTATCTGTTTCATAGGTAACTTGACTGTGACAGGCAATAAGGGAGAAAACGTCTTGCATAACTTTTGTCTTTGTCTCGTCCCGATATAGATGAACTGGGAGACGAAAATGATATTAGTGCAGCACTTATATGTCAACTAAATACATTAAGAAATATTTACTGAAGCAATAAGCATCCGTGGCCTACTAGTGAAACATATTTTTCTTCCGGGGCAAGAACGAAATGAAGATGTTATTCAAGTTTTGTAAATTGTCTCTTTTTGCTCAGTGGTTCCAGCCTGTTGTGCTGCTCGGAGTTTAAAAAATTCTATAAACTTTTTATATATATAGATATTAAATATAAGTTATAATTATCAGTTTGTTCTTTCTTGTCTCTTACACATACGAGCCAGCCACTATGAAAGATAACATATGTTGTGACAGGTTATGCACGGATCTGCTTGGAAATATCATTTCATTTTACATTTCATCAACTTTTGACAGTTTTTTTATATAAATTTTTAAATGCAAATGATAAAAATATTCTCTTTGAAGATACTTTAGATTGTGGGCTTTCTGGGACCACACAATAATTACAGTAGGGCTATTTGTAATCTTAATGCTGTCATTTAATCAACTAAGTGAAATGATCAGGGCGTGGAGTAAAAAAAAAAATGCTTTGGACATAATCCTGTGACAGAAGGAAATGCACAGTAGAAACGCTCCCCTTACTCGTTGCACCGGCTTTAATCCAATTCAACAGAAGGGATTGGTGTGGTGTGTCCTTGTGTTGGAGAAGACGAGGTCACTTCATAGCTAATGCTATATTTTTTCTTTCTTGATACAGATTCTTATTGTAATTCATTCAGAGATTTTGAAAAAACGAAACAGAAGTTTTAGAGGAAAGTTGGACGAAAAGATTGAGGTCAACATGCGCAGTAGAGAGTGCGGAGCTTCTGTCAGCAGTGGCAGTTCCTGTTAGTGTGCACGCAGAGTGGAGTGGGTGGCTCCTGATAGACAGTGAGCCTAAGATACCGTTCTTATCTGTGCACATCCAAAAATGTATGCAGCCAATATGGCACACAGTTGGAAAAGACACAATTACTGATTAAAACAGATAAATCTTTTCTTTTTTTCAGGTCTTGCTTCTATATTTTGTAAATCTTCCATCAACAAAGTGAAGAGGTTTCTTTTGATCCTGCAGGACAACGGGCTTATTATGGAGGGAAGCAGCTTCCCGTCTGACCGAGTTTTCAGCTCCTTCTCCTTTCTGAACTACAGCCTCCAAAGAATTTGATTTGTCATTCTCACAGTTTAATTAAATACAGGACCCCTTTTTGAAAATGTCACTCTTGATGTGCTAGATGTGTAAATCGCCTACAAAAATAAATAAAAATAATGATGTGCTTGAGATTTTCATTTGTATTTTGCCTTTTTGGTTGAAATCAATGTCATCCGTTTTATTATTCCATGCACTTTCTGTTGACAGGTGAGAGACGGGGCTCAACAATGCTGTCAGTTTCTCAGACTTCCCCGCATACTCCCCACTGCTTTTCAGAGGTATAGTAACTATCCATATCCCCATGAGTGGCGACTTGTCATTTCTCTTATAAAGAAAGCCCACTGCACAGCAAAGAAACTCATTCTGACATGACTCAGAAATATTATTTTTTTGAGTTTACTGCTGTGTCCATATTGCTGTGTACCTTATTTCCAACTTCCATCCCCATAATGAAATCCAAGGTATCTATTATAACAACAATCTTTTGCTATTAAATTGCCTATGTTTCTGAAGCACCTTGAGGATGGGATTAAGTAGCAGAAATAATCAAATCCTGCCACTATGCTTCTCTATACAAATTGAAATAGGTTAGAACAATAATATTGAATTTGGTAAATAATTATAATAGTTAATAATGATCATGCGAAGAGTGAATCTGCATCATATAAAGGGGTTGAAAATACCACATTCTCTAGTTAAGAATGTCCTTTTTTTAAAAGAAACGTGATAATCTCACTGTTCAAATAGAGCAATAACAGTCATGTGGGTATTTTGTCTTTAATGTCATGTTAGATTCTCCATCTCTATACAAAATAGACAAAAATAATTTCATATAATTTCAGAAATTTCCAAAAACATTGTCAAGTGATCCCAACGTAAAATAATCAATGACAATCTTAATTGTTTGCAAGTAAAATGCATTTAGCAAAATAATTTTCTTTTTACTATATCATCACAAATTCTTCATACGTTCACCATGATTCCTACATAAATATCTTTAGTGAAATGAATTACAATCTCTTTATGATCTGCTTAATGAGAAACAAAAAACTCAAACTGAGAAAAGAAGGTTTAACATGGAATCATTCAATAAAAGAAGCCAATCTTCTGTCTACAATAAAGACTTGAAATTACAGTCAACGGTTGACATAACATTGTCATATCTCTTTGAGGCACGCACTGCCTCGCAGCTCTATGTTTTCCATCAGTAAGAGCACAATCTTGATAACTGCTTGGTAAAATGCAGCTTTAATGTTTTATGGTTGTATCAAATTTGACTTTAAGTGCAATCGCCTGTCGTGGACAGCGATCGGAGCTTATCCAGTTGAGGCACACAATCAATTTTTAAAGATCATTCTCTTCACAAAGACAACATGGTAAAGATAACAAAATAACAAAAAGGAGACGTATTGTATTTTCCGCATGGTGAGTCAGAGTTTTGTCATTGGTATGTGCAAACTGTTCCAGGGTCCCATCCACAACTCCTCCTCATCTGATAATGTGTGGTCACTGTGGGACCCCAGTGTCTCACTACTCTCCTTGTGGTTGTCAACAGAAGTCTCCTGCTCCTCACCGACACAACGCCCACTGCTGTTTCTGTCAATCAAGACCTTGGCAATATTGGTTTTGGACCCAAAACTTTTAAGATCCGTCACGGTGGATCCAAAGGAGCCACGGGAGGGCCGACAGTTGAGGTTGATGTCCACGTTAGCGGGAGCGCATGTGCCAGCTCCGTTTTCTGTGTCTTTTTCCGGACCCTCAATGCCGAGAGTAGGTGAGGGCTCTTCATGTGTCACCCCCAACTTGTCTAGTTTTTTAAAATGCTTACCAAGCCGGCACGGGGACCCGCCCTTCATGTTGTTTGGGTGAGGTGGCCGCCAAGTTCGGACGATAGTTCCGTTGTGTGCGAGGTACACGTTCCCGTTGATGTTGCCGTGACTGTTGGGAAGTCGGTTTCTCTGAGTCTCAGTGGGGGTCTCCTCTCCCGTGGAGCTGGTCTCCTTCTCCCGATCTACCACCAGCTTAATCCGCGTGTTTTTCCCAAGCTAAGGAGGAGAGAAGGGTACATAGTATATGTGTTGGTTTTACAGCAGGTGTATGTAAGGGGAAATAAAGCAAAAAACAGTGCAGATAACTAGTTCCGTAGTACACCAGGTATCAAAATAACAGTATTTACTGGGAATTCTCGCCATCATTTTCTCTCTTATCCCAGAAAGACATGCTCATTTTTAAGACTATTTATAGAGAAACAAAGTTGCTTTCCGAAAACCTATTTAACGGAACCAATTTAATCTGCACATCCAACCATAAAATTATGTTTTGACGGCAATATAAACGCCCTTTTAATAGGAAATGTTAAACTACAAAATAAATCATACTCTAGTTCTGGGTTAGAAATTAATTCATGGCGAGAAATCTTTCCATCGCAAAAAGTATTTGAGCTAAGTAATCATTTTAAAATAACAGGTATAGAGTAAAAACAAGATGATACAGCAACATGCAAAATCGCACAGCAGAAACAAGAATCTGATAGTATACAAAACGTACAGGCATAAAAAGACTCAGGAAACATGAAAGAGAAAGATTAGTCAAACGTGTAGGAAACGTTTTTTCTTGCTTAGGGGAAATGAGGAAAAAGTGAACGTTTGAAACACCCTGCAGAGGCAAGCAATATTTCTTCAATTCCGTGCAAGGGTAATTGATTTTATTCACTCTTACTTCACGGTGGACAATAAATCTCTCTAGAAGGAAGTTGAGTTTCCTTCAGACTCAGACTCTGCATCTGATGTAGTAGCTTCTGTATCTCCTGGGTCCTTCGAAGTACTGCCGGCCTCTGAAAAGGCGACACTGGTCGAGGATTTGTCAGAGGAGATGGCATCCTCATCTACCTCAGTGATGGGGGACAGTCCGCCGTAGGTTTCTACAGAGGTGTCACCGATACTCCTGATGTCCGAGCTGTATGGTGGACGAGTATAGGGAGCAGAAGGCCCCGGGTCTCTGGACGCCACACTGGACTTCGAAGGTGACGCCTTATCACTGAACTCACTGACTGACTCTTTGCTCTCCTCCGAAGTATCAGACTCAGCCTCACTCTCTTCTTCACTCTCCTCTGTGATTGTGTCCTCAGATCCACGGCTCAGAACGGACCTTTGGGAACGCCGGCTGCCACTGGTGGATTTGGATCCCGCCCTGCTCTCCCCGCTTACCACAGAACTTCGGTCCATTATGTGACTGCCAGATGAAGAGCCTTCACCGGACTCTGACCCGGACATCTTCCTCTGGCTGGAACCTCGAGACATAGAGCCTTCACTCCCTGACACTGAGTCCACCTCACTGGCTGTCCCTGTTCCTGACTCGCCCTCACTGAGTTCTTCACTGGACTTCTCCGAGGCCACTGTGCGTACCGATGATCTGGTCCTTTGTGATGACCGAACACTTGAGCCAGATAAAGAGGCAGCACTGCTAGCGCTACCACTGCCACTCCTACTTTTATCACTGCCACTTCTGGTGCCACTTGTGCTGACACTTCCACTGCCACTTCTGGTGTCACCTGTGCTGCCACTTCCACTGCCACTTCTACTGCCAGTTGCGCTGCCACTTCCACTGCCACTTCTGGTGCGACTTCCACTGCCACTACCTGAAGCACTGCTCCGCGTGCTGCCCTCAGCTGATGACTTCATAGAAGAGCGGGCAGAAGACCCACTTTCTTTTGTGCTCCCTTCCTCAGACTCTTCATCGGAGTCTTTCTCCGTCCCTGAATCCTTTTCTGTGCTAGTTTCCTTCTCTGTCGCTGTGCCTGTTCCTGTTTCGGTTTCTTTCTCAGATTCTGACTCCTCCTCAGAATCTGAGTCTTTCACAGTGTCAGATTCTTTCTCTGTCGGTGATGACTTCTCTGACTCTGAATCTTTCTCGGAATCTGATTCTCCTTCAGTCCCAGATTCTTTTTCACTGGCCGATTCCTTTTCTGTTTCTTCTCCTTCAGATTTGGACTTGCTTTCCTCATCAGAATCCCCCAGGTCCTCATCAGGCTCTTCCTCTGAGTCAACAGTGCTTTCATTGGCATCGTCCCTGTCCAAATCTACTTTCAGATAATCTCTGTCAACGCTGCTTTTCTCCGAGGATTCTTCATCGGAGTCTTTCTCCCTACTGATTCCACTTGTCCCTGCTTCTGGCTCACTTTCTGTTACACTAATGGACACTTTAGACTTCTTGTCATCCTCACTGGCTACTTGTGACTCCTCCTCGTCTCTCTCGCTGCCTGTTGTCGAACCTTGACTACTTCTCGACTTCCTCCGAAACTGCAACTTGTTGCCTAATTTGATTTTCTTCAGAACTTTGCCAAGTCGGCTGCGGGTATCAGACTTGCTGTCAATAGGTCCCAAAACTGCTGGTATGCCACTCAGACTCTCCTGGCTGTCAATGCGGCGGGCTGACATCAGTTTGGCATAATCCTGGTCTTTCTTCCCAGCACCAAACATCTTGAGCATCTTGGCTCTCTTCCATGGAGATGCGCCAGAAGGACCGGCATCAGAAGGCTGCTTGCCGGCAGCCAGGAATTTGCTGAGTTTCATGACAGACTTCAGTTTCTTGGCAGCCTTAGAAGGCTCGCTCGCCACTGCTGGCTCAGCGTGTTCGATTTCATCCCCTGGCGGCGTGTCCCTGAACGCAACCCTCTTGGGTCCACCTCGACCACGTCCCCTGCCTCTGCCTCGACCCTAAGACAGCCATATTTAATTCAGCAACTTTGTGTGATGATGAATCAGGGATGGCACTTTTCTATAATACGATGAACGCAGAATCTATTAAGACAGTAATTAACAATCTTGATATTATTAATTCAAGTATGAAATTCACATCAAAAGGAAAGCTAATACCTCGGGGCCTTGAGGACTGTAGAAATACCCATCGTCCTCCATGATCACCTCTCCATATTCATCATACATGGGAGCTATCAGCTTCCTCCGACTGCCATACTGAGGAATGTCGTACCTGAGTAAAAGATACACAAAATATGAACAATGAAACATGGTAAAATTGCTGGTACTTTACCTATGGTTTTGTTTAGTCAGTATAGGATACGCATTGATTTGTGGGGTGATTTGGTTAAGTTTGTAATTTTGTTCCAGAGGGTGATAGAGCTTTTAAAAAAAGAATTTGCCTATGTTTTCTAAAAGGGATCTAGTAACTTGGATGCTTAGACGTACCGATATGGAGACCTGTGGGGTAACAAGTATTGCCTAACATTTCATCAATGCATTTCAACACTTCAAATAAATGAGGGTGCTCTTCTCCAATGTACCGTTTTATTTTATTCCGGAGCATGTGTGGGCAAAGTTCAATTTTTTTGCAGATTTAGATTAAATGAAGAACAAAGAAGAAGAGGAGATTTATCCATTTATATATTGTATTTGTATGTTCTATTTTTTACTATTTTAACCGTCTGCATTGGTGTGGTTGATGACCTCAATTAGCTGATTTTATCACTGATACTGAACATGTGACTTATTCCCCTTACTCCACAATAACAAATGACAGAAGAACCTAAAGTAAAGACGCTGATGGTAATTTGTGTCATAACCACCTTCTGAACATGTGATTTAGACACAATGAGGCAATTAGAGTTTGTAAAGATTATGTAGAGTAAGTTCCTGGGCAACTTCCATGGCAATTACAATTTTTTAAACAATTGTCAGCATTTTAAGCCTGTAGAGTGCAGAATCTTCTCCATGTGATGAACTCGTAATTCCCCAGTGTGTTGCAAGTCACCTGCCGTAGAGCGGGAGCGTTTAGTGAATAACAATTTCCCAGCAGCTGTTACGGCTTTAAGTTCCATGTTTTCTCTCTTTAGCCCATCTGGGCTGCAACAGGCAAGCCAAAACACCACCTATCATATAAACCACGCAAAAGCACTGAGACACTCTCAGGTGCCCGACTCAAAGCTGTATAATTGATCCCACTTGATGGGAGCAGAAAGGGTAAACACTTGGATGATACGTACAGCTGAAGGGCAAACATTAGTTACACTCATTATTTCATTCTAAACTGCCAAGGACCCTAAAGCATTGGGAGCTGGAAGGCTATTTCACAACAAATAAGTCCTAATAATGTGGGTCTGCACGCTCACCCTTGGTCGTAATTATAGTAGTCTTGTGTGTAGTAGTCCTGGCCTGGCTCGATACCTGACTCCATGGAGAGTTCCTTTATTTCAGAGAGGCAGAGAGAGAAATTACTCAGCACTCCTCAGAGAAAGACAGAAGCAGAAGAGCTTCCAGCAGCATGCAGGGCGAGCATAAAGCTTAAGGACTACAACCCCTGTGAGTTAAGGAAAAGCAGGAGGGTTTCTACCTCAGGTCTCAGAAGAGATGGCCTCAGCAGTTGCTGTTGCTGCCAAAAATAGTACAGAAGAAGGATAAAGTAAAGGAAGGAAGGGACGGGGAGGAGAGACACAAGCATAATGAAGAGTTCACTCGATACATTTCAGATTAAAATACAGAGGTTGCAGGCATGCCGATTCTTGCTCTACGATACATAATTATACCAAGATGAAAAGATAAAATATTGATGAAAATGAAGCAAAAGGAAAATGTGGGAAAAAGCATGATAGAAAGTAAGACAAAAATAAAACACTGTGTGTGTGTTAGATGCTGACAGTTCATAGATTATTTGATGGTGACAAATAAAATAATTTAAAATCAAACAACTTCGCCTTGTTTGGACTCTGGGATTAGTTTTTTTTTTTTTTCATCTAAATGCGTATATGCCAATTGACAGGAACATAGAGGAATACAACATAGTTTTAAATCAAACCTAAACTGTGATGTCAGTGTCAGAAGTCCTATCGGCGGGATCTTCTAGTAGTCTCATTCAGACTTTTCCATCAAGTCAGTTGTAGATAAGAGTAATAGGATATAAGCTGCCTCGAACCGGCTTTGAGAGTGACAACATGTCTTGGCGCAACACAAAGATAAGAACACATCACAACAGGAATGCTTACCTGTCTGCCGTAGCCTCGCCTGCTGTCTCCCGAAGAAAGGAGGAAACAAGACAAACAATGAATATGGTTTAACAGCAACATTTCAAGTACTTTCAGATAAATGAAATGTTACGTCTACAGCACTACATTCTGCTGACCGGTGAAGAAATTGCAGATTTACTTACTGTGCATTTTATACATGTTAAATTAGTGTTGCAGATATTGTTCAGTTTAAAAAAAAAAGGATGCTCTAGGCCACAATGCTATTATGCTGGTGTGGGCTGTTTTCCCCACTGTTATCTCTTCCAAACAGGGAGAGAAAAAAAAGATAAGATAAATGCAAATATCAAAGAGGCCGGAAAGATTGAGAGTTTGAAAAAGAAAAAAAACAGCGTTCACACAGACAGCATCTCTTAGCAGATACGGAAAGGACATTGTGATTCAGGAAGGAACAAGAAAGTTGTTACAATTGTCTTAGGTTATCCCATAATGTGCCATTTTCTATCAAGTTGATGTAATCAAATCTTAGGAATTCCAAAAAACAAACAACAACAACTCCTGAGGACAAGAATACACGTGCATTCAGCAATAGTCAATGAGAAATGGCGAGTAATGGCGCAGCCCGGCTGAACCCTCCAGTTTCACAAGCGTACAACTGTTAACTGTCTAGGCCCATAAATAATGACGACTTTCGCGCTGAGATATATGGCCAAGCAATGATGTGAGCTTCCTCGGGGGAGCTGTAATCTGTTATTATGGACAGGGAGCGGCGGACAGGGCACAGCCACATGGCCACGCCTCCCAGGCATAGTGGGTGATGGGAGTGGGATCTGATGGATGACCTGTTGGCTCAGCTGCTGGCTGCTGCTGATTCATGAAACATCAGGAACAACTGCCCAGTGGACGGCAGCCACGGGAAGTTTGCAACAGAGGGGACTTTGGGGAAGAAGGGTGATAATAAGGTAATGTTGTAAAAAAAAAAAAAAAAAAAAAGGCAAGACTTGAATCCTGAAGGACCCAGAGCATTATATTTATAGCAGTAAGGTGATTTTCATCTTTTCACTACACATTTCTAGGCTGAAAACAATACAGTGTAGTTTGCTTTTCTCACATAAATGTCTTAAGCATCAAAGCACATTTACCCAACGCATTGCAGAAGAAATTAAAGCTTAAAGATGAGTTCAAAATGTTCGCAAAATACGCTTCTTCCTGCTGAGTGTTACAGCAGGAAGAATAACATCTATTTTCAGTGTGAGTGGTATTGATATTCCCTTCAAACAACACGGACAACAACAAAGACAAGGAAAACATGATGACATGGTGTCAGAGCAGAGCGTGTTTTCATGCACCATAGATCCCTTTTGAAAAGAATCTGTGGGTACAGAGATACTGATTACAGCCAAATACTACTGTTAACTACAAAGTCCTCTGTTCGTATTTTCAAATTCAAATATTACAGTAGAGACTGCTGTAAAATGTAAGATGAAGAACACTGTTCATCAATGCATTCTGCTCTTTGGGTGAAAAACCCCAGCAGGTGAGCTTTTAAAAAAAAGAGATTACCCCATGTGGTGAACATGGAATACAGAACGAGCAGGCCTTCGATCTGCCCATCAGGGGAGCGCTTGATGAATCAAACATTACATCGCTCCGGAATGGAGGTACGCTAAGACCATTTGCCTCAGGTCATGAAACAAACACATGAAGGGAGAAATGTGACAGAAAGACAGAGAGGAGCAGAAGTGGAAAAAGCCTGAGCACAGAAAAAAAAGGAAGGAAGAGGGAGACGGAAGGCGCATTGCAATGAGTGTAGAGAAGGTAATAGAATCTCCCGAGAACCACGAGGAAAGATTAACAAGAAGAGACCATGGACTGGAGAGTACCAACTACAGGGGGAGAAGAAGTGAGATAGAAACACAGACAAATGCCAAAGGCAGAAGGTCAGAGAAATGGAAAAAAGAAGGAGAGGGTAACAGTAGTTGACAGTCCCAAAGGCAGCGGTCCTAGTTAACGATTGATTGGTTCTCTAATTAGCCTTTTTCCAGTGTGCGCCAGAACATTGGCTATCTCATCACGTGGGAGGATCAGTGCAGACATGTGAACCGACAGGTACTCCAGAGGTTGCCTCTCTTCATTCAACGTGAGCTCGCCGGGAAACCCAATCAATGTGTTTTCATAGCCGACATAAGATGTTTTCACTTAGCAGTGTCTGGCTCACATCCACATTCGACACCCATTATATTTTAAATGAAAGGATTTACCGTAACCTGCATTTGTGTAATCAATTTAATTTTTATGTAATATTTCTGGATTAGTTTTTTTTTTCTGTGTATAATGTTCGCTTGCTCAGGGGTGTATATGACATTAAGTAGTTTAAAATAATTTAATACGGTTTCACACCCGCGGGAAATTCTTGGGAATCTTCCCTTGTTTAAAAACAATCGTAGCATTATACATTGCATGATTAGAATTCTGCATGAAGAAACAGCCTCCTTGCCATCATGCTTTGGTCGTAGGTGAAGAAGTCCAATGAATTCAAAATCAGAAAAATGCAGATTCATAAATGTTGGCGTTTACTATAATCAAAAGTAGCTTTGGTTCAGAAATGTTAAAAACATGAACTACAAAAACAGATAACACTAACTCTAAATCATGGTATGAACTGGGATATGCTTAACACTATCAAACCACAGATCTCATTGCGGTTTAGGTCATTAAAACATACAAAACTGGACCAAACAGACTGTATGTGCAATCCTCTTTTATGTTCTAATGGAAGCCTGTCAGCACATTCTATAGTAAATGTGGCAGCACTAAGTACATTTCTGACAGCTGGCACTACAATTCCATTTCCACACAAATTATCCTGTAAAAAAGCATTTAGTCTGAAAGACCCTGACAGTCAGAACTCGTCGGACTTGGCTATTGCTAATGCAAAATACTACCAACTGTGCAGCAAACTAAACATGGTTGAAAAAAGCACACAAGTAAGGATTTGTATGAATGTAAAAGTGGAGACAGAGAGAAAAAGTCAGAACACTGTGGATTGGGAGGACGGGTGCTCAGCAGTGTTTGGGCTGCTGGAGTTCAATTGGCTTGTCTGCTGAATGTCTGCTGCCATGTCAAGTTCACTCGTTCCATTTTCTGCATAGTTCCCACTTGTTGTTGAGTTGACTTGGACTGCGGAGCTGGAGTTGGTTGTTTTTGGCGTGCTTTGCTCTTCCCAGGGATCAGAGCTTTGCATTTTGTTAGCAGCTGATTCTTCAGTCACTTGTGGTTTCTTGTTAAACCTGGGCACCTTGCTAGTTTTGTCTACTTGGCTATACAGATTGGCAACAGATCTCTCTATGTCGGCAAGATTCTGGATGTTTTTCAGGATCCCTTTAAGTTCCTTTTTCCCGGCATCAGCTTGTGATGAGTGAAGAGGAGGAGGAGGAGAGAGGATGTTTTCCTCTCTGACACCGTGCGAAGCGAGGAGGCGGGCGGCAAAAAAGTTGGAACAAACTGGCCGACTGGGCGCGACTGATTGCTGTTAGTGGGTGAGGGTGGGGGCGGGGGAGGCAGGGGCAGGGAAGGGAGAGGCGGTGGGGGGAGAGGCGGTGGAGGCGGGGGCGTAACCCGTTTATGGACGGGAGGAGGGGAGGAGTGAGGCGAATGCTGAGGTTTATGAATGTGGGGGGACGAGGGGGGAGAAGACGGCGGACTGGAGGGAGGGGACGTGGACGGCGAAGGCGGATGCCGCCGCAGCGGCGGCGGCGGAGGCGGAGCGGGAATTTCCGGCGGGTCTGGTATGACCTCCACGGTGATCTGACACGGCTGAGCTGTCGCGTAGCTGGAGATGCTGGAGCTAAGCTTCCCGTGGACGGGTGGTGTCGATCTCCGGCTAGCAAGGGGCCATGAGTCGTCTCCCTGATTAATGACAACGCTGGGCGGGCGATCCCTGCCAACGAAAGGGGTGCCATAGGGGTAATCCATGATGGAGAGCAGCGTTTCGGAGGTCAGCTCCAGCACTTCATCGCTGTCTTCATCTCTGACAAGGATAGAGGAGAAGGAGCCCCGGAAGCCACCGCTGTGCTTGCGGGTTTGCTCCGGGGGGGCCTGTTGCTCAGAATGCCTGACCCGTCCCGACAACTTGGTCTCTGTGCTGCTACGCAGGCGAAACGCGTCGAAGCCCTCCGGCCTCCGCCTGCCGCTCGCGGCCGCGCTGAGAAGCTGGAGCTCCCAGTCGTCCGGGTCCATAAGGGCTCGTCTCCTCGGGGTCTCGTAACCGCGCGGCCCTCCCTGAACACGGGCAGGCATTGACCTGACGCAGTCCGACCCCGCCGAGCGGGGAGGAGAAAAGGAGAAGCGCTTCTCCGACGGGCTCCCCCCCCGCGGGGAGACCTCGGGGCTGCTGTCATCGTACACGGGGTTGTGAGTGGTGAGCGGGTTGCGATCAGAGAGGAAGGTCACGTTGCTCTCGGACTTGGGCAGGTCGACATGCAACGCTCCGTTGCCGCGGGATGCAATGGCGCGACAGGATAAGGTGCTAAGAATCCTGTGGCGGTCGGCCTCCTCAATGACCGACTTTTTAACCCTGCCCCAGTGAAAAGTAGAGGTGAAGAAGAAGAAAAAAAGACTTGAAAACAGGTGAAGAGTCATGGTTTACGGGTGAGGGGAGCAAAGAAAAAAGATCAAGGCAAAAGCAACACTGCTATCAATGTTCCTGCGTCTTAGTTGATTAGGACTCTCAAGTATTGAGACTGCAAAATCTGTATGTTAAGGCAACCTAAGTGACAAACTTTCTACGTCTATTCTAAATAATTGTAAAGTTTGGCTTAACTCATATTGGATGCATTAGTGCAATCAGTCGCAACACAAATAGATGTGAAGGTAAGGGGCAAAAAATCAGTAAAGGTTGATTCACTTTTCCTGACTACATGGAAGTTAAAGCTTTTCACAAAGCCTAAAAACTGCTACCACCACACAGGACAATCAACTAACTATATCAATGCACGAGTCTCTCAGTTTGAAAAAAGTTCTTTACATACCAAAATAAAGCCTATACTGTATATGTGCATATGCTCAGCAAAAGTTACAAGGAACTGGGAAAACTATGGTTCTCCCCTGTGTTATTGCATACAAATACTATTGATGATAGACTTTAGAGGTTATCTATTTTAGGATTACTTACTGCAGTCTGAATCCAGAGAGACGGAGGAATAGAAATGATAGAAACACAGACAGATGGTAAGAAGACTAAAGCAGAACTGTCAGAAGTGTGGATGAAACGTAAGCGCAGGAATACGTCAATACTGAAACGATGTTTGCTGTGTGTCCCTGCAGCGTATGCCAGACTGTTGGCACAAACACACACACACGATGGGCTGTTGGGGACATCTCATTGCCTTGCACTAATGTCTTGGAGCCTAACCCTTTAAAAAAACCTTCGCACACACACACAGACACACTGTACCGCTCTGTGTCTTTTAATGGGTTTTCTTATAGGAACGACGCTTATATATAACCTCCAAATGAATGTTGCTCAGCTACAATACAATCCCCACGAGAGCTCTTCTGCCACGGAATCAGAAGCTGCGGCTTGCTGTCGAGTGTTGGTCAACATCTGTTGTAAACATTGCACAAGCTCTTTTCAGCTTGCCGTTGTGCTTTCATTTTCTTTTATATAATGAGAATGAAATGTCAATAGCAGTATTTATTAAAATGCTGTTAATCCAAATTATTAGACCCAGTGGGGCAGCTGTTTAAATTCAATTTTGTCTCATTTACATATTAAACATTCATTTATTTAGCAGGTACTAGCAATTCATTAGGTGTTTTGTTTTTTTTATTCAAAATGAAATCCGAATGCAAAGCACTGGGAATAGAGGCAAGCTCGAAGGAATCTTTGGAGTAATTTATGAAAGCAGCTACAAAGCACAGACCAGACTATTTGTTTCTATTACCAGTAAACTATACATTCGATAAACACCAAACATAAGTGTTTTACAAAAAGCATACACAGGCAGAGCTCATGTATTAGCTCCAGCACTATCCCCAGCTGTGCTGCAGCGCACACCATGGCTTGCTGACATTTAAAGTGGATAATGGCGAGGAAGCGAAGATACAAGGCGATCCATTGATGCAGGGAGGAATATCTCTCAAGCAGAAGGTGGCTGTCTGCGTCAACATGCAGAGCTGCCAGTAGCCATTTCAGAAAAGCGAAGGGGAAATGATTGTGAATGCTAGACAACAGTTGGTGTCGGAAGCAGGAGAACACTAAAGGAGGAGTACTGGCGTTTAAACATGAAAGCAGAAACTTTAAAGAAGGGAACCTGCAGAGCAAGAGTAGCGGCGTAGGACGGGAACAGGTGGGATGGGAGGTGGATGAGGAAGGGTCAGGGTTGACTCACATGCTGCTGTCACCCAGCTCCTCGTAGAGGTTAGCGCCGGGAGCCACCGCCGGAGCTGTTTTCCCTCCGGGTGGTAAAGCCATCTGAATCCTGGCAGTTTTGGCACACTCTGCCTGTCGCCTGTGCAAATTGTCAAACAATTACAATCACCAAGATACGCTTCAAGTCCACGGAAAAAACACCTCATGCACAAACATACAAATGAAAAATCAACTGCACATTTTTCTTTAACAGTTAATGTAGTTCAGAATGAGAGAAATTGGTGAAGAAAGAACAAACAATCAATATAATACATTTTCCTGGGATCTCATGTCTAGATGAGGTTTCGGTAACAGCTATTCTCATCTTATGAAAACTACAGCGAGATTTTTAGATTGATAGTGTCAGAAAAGATATTATGGAACAATTATCAACTATGAGGTCTAACTATAATGAACACACAGAACTGATGGGTAGATTTTCAACAGTGATGAGTGAAACATGATAGATGAGCCAGATGACTAAAGAACTAAGGTAGGTGTCTTTTTGACTTTGGGTTGATTTTCCTTTTGAATATCATTAGATGTTCCACACAAATCTAAAATGCCAAAATAAACATTCATCCTCCAACCTACAATAATACTGATGTTTCCAAAGAGTGGCATTAGCTCATTTTCTTCTTCTTCTTCACACAATTAACACCTCTTTGAAAAATGAATGAATAAGGAAGATGGGAGAGAAACTGCACATCTCACACACACAAAATGATTACTTACTCTTTGAACCTGGTTATTGGTTTTGATTCAGAAGAAAAGTGAGGAGACAAGAAGAGAGAAGAAAAGAAGAAAAACAATTAGTGATTGCATAATTTGACAAGAGTCTAACCTCCATGCAATTTCAATGATCGGCGGTGACACAATGTATAACATAAAGCGTCAGTTAATCTTTTACACCACAACAAGCGTAAGAAACTCCCTTAACATTCTCTCCAATTTGTACACTAAGTACCAAGCACTCGAGACGACAGCAGTGACAGAATGCAAAAGTAGCCGCTGCTTTCTAGTAAATCTTCTGTGCTCCAAATCACCATTACAAAACTTTATTATTCCACATGAACAAACCGGCTTTAAATATTACGCTCATTCCAAAATCAAGGCAACAGAGAATTATGTTGACACACAGAAACTCATTTCCTAAACCATTTCATTTGACCAAAGTAATGACGGCAACAACAAAGCACCATCTGCTGTGACAGTTTGTGTGTTCGGTTCTAACGTCACCATCAACAGCTTTCTGCCGCTTGCTTGGACTGTGCGTTCGCGTCGGGACAACCACCCCGCCCATCTGCTGCGAATAAACATGTCCCAGACCTCACTGATTACGGAACATTTGAAGCATGCTAATGATTGGAGGGGATAACACCCGTTCTATAGCCAGCCAATGCCAACCGAGTTCAAATATCTCCCATTTAACCAAAAAGCATAAAGTGTGTGTGTGTGTGTGTTTGTGGATGAGAGAGTTGGAACAAGCCAGACACTGTTTATTGTGTATGTTTCAGGCGCAGATGATTAAGTAGCGTGACGACGCACTGTGACGGTCACAATTTGGCTGTAGTTATTTGTCACAAATGAGTGTTAATTAATCTGCTTTCACAGAGCATGAGCAATGAGATTAGCCCAGCAGAGTGCGCAGTCAGCATGTCTGATGAGACGCAGAGGCAGCGATGGAGAGGGAGAGAGAGACAGCCACACACACACACAAACAGCTGCAAATAAGCAAGAACGTCTCTTGTGTTTTCAATGTGTTTGTTGGTGGTTTTGCGTGCCAGAGGGTACGCGGAACAATAAAATGAGAAAAAAAAACGTCTGATTACTGTGTGAGGACCAAAAGATGAAAACAATATCTCCCAAGACAACAGTTTCCTTGAGTAAATATATTTCCCTCTTAACTTCCTGACAACAGAATTAACCTGACAAATATAATTAATTGATTACAAAAGCCAGTGAGGATTACTGGGACGAGAGGACTCACTGTTTGTAGGTGACCATGACGATGAGGATGGCAGGGATGCAGCAGAGGATGATGATGATGGCCAGAGCCAGGAGAGCCCCCTCCGTGTAGCCCACAGCTTGGGCTGCTTTCTTCACACTGGCCACAATATCCGGGGAGCGGATCTCCAGGATGCGGCCACCCTCGCCCAGATATGGCTGGAACTCCTTGTTGATTTCCAGCACATTTCCGTCGAGAAATCTGGGATTAATAACACATAATCACATATCGGGAACAGCAGAATAATCGTAATCTTGCAAACTCCTATTTAAAGGGGTTGCTCGCTAGAAATGAAACCCACAGAGACACATCATGCAAATCTGCACCTCTTTGAATGCAAATTATTTGTCGAAAGAAGTTCAATCATTATTGTAACCTTTCCACCAAAAATCTTGCAAAACCAATTAGCAACACTATTTGCAATTGCATTGCATCAATATAAATTAACACTGATAACAGCAATCCACACATTGTTCTCCCGGTATTATTTTGCAACAATAACTAGAGAGGCTTTCAAACAGAGGATTCAGCAAACTGTCAAATTAATGTCAATTTGCAATAGTAGGTAAATAAATGAGAAGTGATGAAGGTTAGGGACTGTTTTCTCTGGCAATCCATCTTCTAGAGAGGTCGAATGGAGGGCTGTAGTCAATGTGGCCTTCTATAATGCACTATAATGCACACATTGTCTCACTCTGTAATCTGACAGGCAAGTCACAGATGCATTATATGCAATTACCCCAACAACATTGTCAGACATACACTGCATACATAAAAAGTCTTTCTCCTTTTCATTCAGTATATGTGTCTAAGGAAGTAGACGCATGTTAAAGCAGGGATTTAGAACACCTCTTTTAAAATGACCTCAGCTCTCTTAAGCTCTGCTACCTGTCGTAGTGGCGACAGCCACTAATTTGGGTTAAAAAAAGAGCTGTTCCCATGGCAAGAGTGCCACCCTTTTGATGGCAACGGCCTCAATCCCCCACTGAAAATAACTGTTGAGGCACTCCTGTGTTTTTGGCAATGATGCTAAGATAATGTCTATCGATTATTTCAATGCATACACAGATCACCTCGAAAGGTCACTTGAGTGGAACGTTTCTAAATAAACCCAAATGGTCACAGTCCACACAAAGACGAGGAGGAAGGTTTCTTAAAAGCCCCACAAAAAACAGAGTTGGCAACGAGCACATGAGGAGAAATAAAGACCCATGGAGGTGTCAGATAGCTCAATCAAGCAGGGGCGCAAATAGGTAGAGGGTGAAGGGCACAACTCAGAAAGAGGGTGTTTCCTATTGATTGGCAACTCTCATGCTCTGATGGAGTTGCCGTTTTACAATTGGTGTCTGATGGGTTTGACAGAAGGGCTGGAAAACACAGAAAAGGTGAGATTGTTCATAGGTGCCGGCGCAGATTCCGTTTTCTTCTGAATGGGTTTAAAGATATTGTGTAAGCACTTTTTCTCTGCTTTAATCGCATGTGAACATGGTCTCTCAGTGGTCAAACCGAAGCCCAAATCTCTCCATCACCATGTCCCCAAACAGAACGGAATAAAATGTGTTGTTGGCATTTTCTGCCGGCTCGTTGAAACTCTGGCAGGACGGGTTAAATGGACTGATGGAAATACTGCCTGCTTCACTTTGTCCCTTCTTAACCTCCCCCCCCCTCCTTTTCTCCCTGATATTTTCCCCTTTTTCTTTGACATATGGAGGATTGGCTGCTCCTGTAGGACAAACACAGTCTCATAAAGGAAGTAAAGGCAGCCGCTGTGAAGAAGAAACCGCTGACTCACTGTATGGACAGGCTATGCAGCACAGCAGGGACATGTGGACATCAATTTGAACCAAATAGGGGATTATACCTCCTGTGATAAAATACAACCACTCACTTGAAAAGTTCCTTGGGTGAAATGGCCCTGTTGGTGAGCGGGTCAATGGCGTACACCATCAGGTCCGACTTGCTGTAGTCCTCCAGTTCAAAACCATCGCCATGACGACGTGGTCCGATTGACTCTACAATCACTTTGGCACCTGGAATCTGGTCCTGGATGTGGCGCTCCAAAATCCTGAAATAAAAACAAAAACACAGGTCCGACATATAAGGAAAGCAGCAACGGTTTGCATCCGTTTCAAATCATTTCTGGCATCTCTTTCACTAAAGTAGTATCACAGCCACCAATCAAAGTATTCCATTCTGGAAATGATTGTCCCATTGGGCTGCCGTTTGCTCCACAACTGGGCTCTTGGCAGAGCAAGGCTTTGATAATCCTGTTCCGACAGGGAGAAATCCACACCTCAAATTACAGCCAATAGAGAAAAGCCTTGGTGTCTGCCTTTGCCAAGGTGGATAAACGGTTTGGGCATTCATGTAAAATGGGCCGACATCATCAAAACCACTGTGCAAAATCATAGACCTCTTAAATCTCGTCAGTGCTAAGGGCTTAATAATCGGTGTGTTTTTCAGCCTAAAGAGCAATGCCATTTGTGTGGGAGAGTAACAGGAATCCCTAGAAAACAGCTATTAATACCCATTTGCCTTTCAGATTGACTAATTAAATTAAACACATTGCCCCAAGAGCTGCAAAAGGTTTCATGAATCTCCATCATTAATTCAATTGGACCAGGAAAACACACTCTAGAGGATAGACCACACCGTCTTACTGACTAATAACTAATGGTTATTGAATAACAACCGACAAAGTGACTTTTCTTTCTCATTGGTTCCTGTTTGTTGTTTGGGACAGCTGAATCATATACATCATTCCTGGCCTTCTAAAGTACTTTTGTATGCAAATGAAGGTTCATTCTTGAAACGAGGTCACTCCCATCATAGTGCTGCACAAAAACAAAAATGATGCTGTTCTTATTAACAAAAGAAATATAAGAGGTCAAGGATATGTACTGAAAACAAGAATATTTTGTATGGATAAGAGCAAAAAGTGAAATATGTCACCTTCTTATCACACAGTAGCTTACATTGCATTGAAATGAACAACAAACATGTGCTCCTACCACATTGCAAACACTGATGTTGGTTTCACACAGTAAACCACAAGTAACTACTTGTTTCTTTCATATGTCAATAACAGCAAATGTCTCACCTAATGAGCTCCTCTCTGTGCTCTTCCACTAAAGTTGGCGGGACGGTGGACACGACAACTTGCATGTCCAACGCGTTGACCACGGATACCTGAGAGAGAGTAGTAGGAGTGAGAGAAAGAGAAAAATAAAAGAGTGGTAAGACAGACAGCAGAAAAAATGAAATAAATGGCCATCATATGTCCTACTGGTCGACCCATTCTAATACGTTGGTCAAATCAAATGGGCCCCACTTATGGCCTCCTTGCATTGGTGCTATGCGGCAAACTCAAGGGGCACATAGGCAACACCCTATGTGCACTGAAGCCACATCTCCAATGCAACTCCTGTGAAATTATGTTTCCCCTTCAAAATTAACGAGCACCATGGTTACGCACTCGCTGCTCTCCCATACCCAGACAATGTCCCAGACCCTCCTTCTGTCTCCTCAGAGGCTTGTTAGCCAGACATATTTCACTGAAACGAAAAATAATCCTTCTCACAGTCAGGAAAGATGAGCATTGAATTGGGAACAAAGCCGAGCCAATCACAACGTGCGCGTGGGGAAATTATTTGTAAAAAGAAAGTCACACATGACAGTCATTCAGGAAAATACACATGCAGACACGCAAATGTGTACAACGTTAATGCACAATGCTGAAAGAAAAAGTCTAATTGGATCATCTGCCAGTGGCAGAGGCCACATGTTGTTTGTTCTGTTCCTACTGTGAATATTTCAATAGACTGGAGCCCAAACATTTGTCACTGAGTAAAACACACAAAAAAAAGCCTGTTCTGATCTCATAATGAACAAAAAAGTTAAAAAATGAAGGAACAGAATTAGTTTGTGGTATTCCTCCATTGCCGATTTCTTTTCATATACCGACATAGAACAGACCATAAAATATTAGTCCATAAGATTAGTCTATAAATAAATATAAAAAAACATGACTTGATATTGCATCTATAGAAAGCAGCGGGACTTCAGATACTGTATAAGATTAAGCTAAAAAACACTACAGCCTACACCCCATATTTTAAATTCAAATGTTTTTCCTTATACACCACCTTCCTGGTCAAACTTCACGCACAGTTCACAATTCATGTTTTATTTGTTTGTTCATTATAAGACTGGAAACAGTTGCAATCAACATGTCACCATTGAGCATGTGACCAGTGTGCACACACACCCCAAATGCCCGTGCACCATCTGTATTGTTCGGCATACATATAAGCTATTTAAAGCAAAATACTGGAGACTCACCACCACTTCAGCACTGCTGCTGAGACCTTTTCCATAATCGTCTGTGGCAATAACTTCAAACCTGAAGTACGACCTGCGCATATTTCGAAACATGATGGCCGACTTGATGACACCCGTGTATGTCTCGATGACAAAACTGTCCTGGCCCTCTGGTGTGGGCGGGATAATCAGCCGGTATGCCATCTCACTGTAATTCCCAGTGTCCTTATCATTGGCCTGTAACATAAATGTAGCACACAAATAGAAAATTAGACAGAATAAAGAGACGGAAAGAGAAAGCATTGTATCATTGAAAGAAAGTACTGGTTTGAGATTTCAATACAGCTTCAGCTGGAATCCACCAATCATGATGGTGCCTCTTTGGTTCCAGTCATATTTCCCACCATTTCCCACTTCCCAATCAGTAAGATTGCAGGAGACCTTTAGTCTACGACATCGGATGGTAAACACCTGCTGTGGATCGAGCTGGACGAGCAAAGTGTCTGAACAGAAAATACTGAAGACGGGATTTTCTCGTGTGGTGCATCAATCTTGCAGTTCTTTGTCACAAAAAACGCACAAAAATCAAATTTCCTAAAATTAGAAAAACTACTAGGTAAAAAACCAACAACATTCACAAAAACAACCTATAATTTACGATTACCGTGAAGTTTGTCATTGTTGGGAAAACCACAAAATTCTCCATCGATCTCTAAAGCAAAAATCCTGGCTGGCATACATTTTCAGAGTGCTTGTCCTAGTAAGTGACACTGATAAATAGGAGCAATCTCTTTTTTTTTTTCTCCAGCTATTGGAAGAGGAGGGGGAGGGGTTGTTTTGGACACTGAGGAGAAAGTCACAGGGTAAGGTTTGTTCGCAAGCTGACACGAGATGGCTCCTGTTAAAAATGTGAACAAAAAAGGCCGGAGAAAGTGCTGGAAAAAAAAAATTGGCAACCCATGAATCCAACTACTTACTGATTAAAGGGTCATGAAAGTGCCACAAGGAGCAGGGTATAATTACGCAATCAAATCTTTCTTCTAAACAACACACTTTTGCCTTGCTAATGCAATAGTTTCCACTCCCATTTCCCAATCCACTGAAACCTGTCTGGCACTGCAAAGTGCAGCCTTGTCATTACTATTTTTTTGAGTTAGTGTCAGAATATGTCAAATGTTGACGGTGTTTCTCCAGAGAAAGCAGCGCTCAGCCTTATTACTAATGAAGTCAAGTACAAACACTTCACACCAGTCGTAGTCCAAAGAAGCCTAGGCAGAGGAGGAATTATAGATAGCGCTTGCCCGTTAATTCTACATGTCGGTGTGTATACCAAGCTGAATGGAAGAGAAGAAAGGAAGAGAACACACACAGACACGGGGAGAATAAGCAAACTGCACACAGAGTCAGAGACAAAGGCCGTTGACTGTGAGGCGACAGTGCTACTTTTATAGGGATCTCCCATAATCCCTTCATAGCTTCTTCACGTGAAAGGTTCTGTAAATATATGCCATGTCTGGAAATGTCAACTCACATAGCTTAACTGTAGAAATGTTTTTTCATTTATTTTTTCATCTCACTTCTTTTTATATTTATAACATAATGATTAAGGATAAACTCTTGCAGAAAAAGTAAGCTATGACTTTTATTTGAGACCATCGACAAGATAAATGTAATATAGGAATATAACCCGCGCCGGCTGCAGGAGGTATTCCCATCTTTACTGTTAGACAGCCAACATTTTTTGAGGGGGGTTTTAAAGGTTGAGTGAAAGCTTCCTCCTCCGTATTCTTTAATGATATGGGCTGAATTTCCCAGCTGCTAGGAGTTCTTGAATACTTTTTTTGAATCTCATGACCTTTGTACTTCCGCTTGCCTGCTGTATGTTACACCTTCCCCTTCTATCCTTAACTATTGGGAAGACATCTTTGGTTTCCATAATAATGGAAGTAGCTGCCATGTCTCTGGCCGGCTGTTGTTGCGGCTCAACAATTTCCTTCAACTAAATTTCCCCCCTGGAAGTTCTGATTATTGGCACCTCTACAGTAACACATCCGAGACTAAACGTGGCGTTTGTCAGGTAACACCAAGTCATTCTTTGTGAAATGAAAAAAGTGAAAAACATCCCCCTGGTTCATGTGGAGTATGTGTAATGCTTTCTAGTGGCACAGCTATTACTACAGTGACAAAGTCAAGTGGATGACCCACGATCACTGGTATTAAAAGCAAAGATTTTTCGATTAATCAGGGGCAGAAAATATATTTTATTTTCTCAAAATCAGGTTCTAAAATTGTTATTGACAATTTGGGGGCTGGACACAAGGATAATTTAGGGAATTTTCGTATTAAAATCCACCTCAGTTACAAACATAGTTCCTTGTGTTATGTAGTGTTAATTACAGTGTTGGATGGCTGGATTGAAATACTATTTCAATGACAAATAGTAAGACAAACTAGACACCTTGACAAAGTCCCAAATCTGTTGCCATGATACAATGTTCACTCATAAATGTTTGTCAGCTGCAGTGATGACATTCGAGGGAGGCATTAAGGACGCGTGTAGCTCAAAGGATTTTGAACACAAACACTAGCCTGAGGACACACTCGCACACACCCACACATACAGAAAATAGACACAGCGTGTAATACACGGAATGAAAAAAGTGAAACCTCCCTGGAAGAGCAGGCTGATAGTCAGACAGCATGCTTCTGTGAACAAACTTGGATTACACCGTTCAACTCGCTGTGATGTAGCCAGTGATAGCGGAAGGAGATGACACTGTGATGCACAGAGCAGATCGGAGGACATCTGCCACCCTGGCTGCAGGGTAAGTGTTAAAGACGTGGGACCGGCCTCAGGTACAAACCAAACCAAAAGAAAGACCGGAGCTGATGTTTTCTTACCACTATCTTGAGCACCGAGCTGAAGATCTTGCTGTCCTCCGTCACGCCGCCTATGTACAGCTTCCGGGAGAAGACGGGCGGGTGGTCGTTCTCATCCTGCACCTCAATGAACACCTTGGCTGTGTTAGCTGCAAAGTTCAGATAGCAACTAAATGCATTCAAGTCCTTTAGAGTTATTTCGATCTAGGATAGAGCATATTTTAAGGCAATACAACATTTCAATTCATGTGAAACAACAACAGAAAAAAAGTCTTTCTGTGTATGTCAATGTACAACTATTTAAGCAGTAGATAACCATGGTCAATAATAACCAAGAATAATAATTAGGACACACATTCCCAGAAAGTTTATGGCGTCACAGCCAGTAGCTTTAAAAAAAAAAAAGTCTCTGAAGGCGTCCGAAACGGCGTTGATCAACTGTTGCATAATTTAGCCTCAAGATTGTCATGTCAATATTATTTCTTCATGGTTGTCAACTCGTCCACAACTTCAGAAGAGAGCTTGAAATAACTCCACAGAATATCTTGAAAATTAATCATTGCTGAAAATATCACAGTGCGTCTTCAAATAAGATTCTGTGACGGGTCATTGACAATTTGTCCAAACCATTTTGATAAACGATTTTTTTCACCAATTTTTTAATAAATTTCATCTATTTTGTTACTTCAAAATGAGATTCACCAAGCTTTTCAAATCTGGAAATGTTATGGCTATTTGCTTGCTTTCTATTTGACTGGAAGGGGACAGAGTGCAGTTTGTAGTGCAGCAATTTTCCAGCTGAAAACAACTTGCTGAAGTGGTACTTTAATAACATGCCGTAGAAAAACCTGCATATGTCCTAACTCAACCATTTCTCACGAAACGTGCGTGATCGATTATCATGTGTAGCTTACAACTCCGAGTCAATAATGAGGAGGTTCGTTTTGTTCTGATTCCAGCAAAGATTTTAAATGAAGAAAAACTGCGCTGGAAGTGTCGATGACTTCTCTCTCAGTAGCCCACCATCAGAGAGACAACTGCGTTTGCATTTTCTTTACCAATTTCTGAGAACGTTCACTCGACTCTCAGAAATAGTAAAAATAATGAGTAAATCTAGCAGTTGTCTTTTATAGGGGAACAGCAACAGTCTGAGTTTAGGAGTAAGGTAGAGTGAGGTTGTTAGAGTGAGGTAAAGTGGTCTAGCACAAAAAAGTACACAGCTGTTATTTACTGCGCATGGGGCTTTTTAGCCTATGGATTTCCTTTGGAGAATATCAGTCAAAGGAAGAAAAAAAAACACTTTCAGGGATGCAGGTTGAGCACACAATGACAAAATAAACTTTCAACATCCATATTTTTTTTGTCCGTTCCTCTGCTCCCCTGGTTGTTGGGGTAGCTAGTGGGCTGACATCAATGCTGTGTAACACCTTTAGGTGGAGTGTTTCCCCATTGGATGGGGGTGGCGTGCGCTCGCGCTCCTTGTTAGCACGCCTAGTTGTAGGGAAATACTGAAGTGGCTACTCCAGTATCGTAGTACTACGGTGATAAGATAATTCCAGTTTGCAGTGGTTACAAGTAGCTTCGCTTTTACCGACCACTAAGTGCAGAACCTTTCTCTAATTTTCTCGGTGCGTGCAGCAGCGTTAAGCCTCTCCCAATGCTCCAAAAAAAGACGCATGAGAAACAAATGTTATTGTTATGTTAATGTTATTAATGCTTGCTATGTTAACGCATTTATAACACGCAAACGGACCCAGCTCTAAAATATACGGTATACAGCATCCTTCCAACAATGCAGTTTAGGTGAAAAATATGCAGTGTCAAGGACCATTTTTCTCCGGGCGGCCTACAAAAATGTAAAGCCGTGTGGCATTGGAGCCAGCGATGCACCAGGGGAAATGGACCAACAAAAACACAGCACATCAAATTACAGGCAGAAAAGCTGTACTGTGAGGCACAGAGGGAGAACTCTAGGGGATGGAAAAGACGTCTCAAGAGTTTCTTTCTCTCCGCTTCCCTTTGTAGAAAGTGGCTGTACTTCATCCTCGGAGTATCAGGGTATGAAAACATAAACACAGCCCTCCTTTTTCCTCTCTCACACACTTATGAAAATGGACAAAACAGACCAGTCCATTAAGAGGAGGGATTGCTGCTATAAGGCAGAGTGAGCTTGAGGGTGTCAGAGTTTATGATTTCAAAATTATGTTTAATTAAATCTAATCGTACTTTGGCATATTACATGTGTGCCTGTGCATACAAATGTAATAGTATGCGAGCTTGTGCGTACTTATACAGTGTACTAGGCTTTGCTGGGCTGAGATAAATCCATTTGACAAATCAGTCCAATAATGCTCCGATAATTTAAACTCAATGCAGATAAGAGTCACCGAGTCAACACCTGCAGTACCGTAATAGAAGTGCGAAAAGAAAGGGTGTCTCAACACTCTGTCGAGATGATGTCAGCCTGTAGATGCCTGGGGAGTCCGATGCCCTCTCAAGAGCAACAGTCCTCTACTTCACATCTATCAGGCAGGTCATGTGTGTGTGTGTGTGTGTGTGCATGACTGCTTATTGTGTACTTGTGGATTGGCGTCATTAGTATGTGACAGACAGATGCTAGAAGCAAGAAAGAGAGATGCAGGTAATGTAGGCCATTGATTATTCTGTTCGAAGGGATCGAGAGTAAAGTGTGAACTCATTTCTTTTTGGCATTTCACAAAAACATTTGTCAGTGGTCCAAACACAAGCCTAATGATATTCCAGCTGAAGCTTTGCCAAAAAACAAAAGCCTGTTGTCTGAAGGGCTCTGTATGCAGACTATCAAACGGAGCCTTGACCTCCTTTCTGACCGCCTCTGCATCTGACAATTAATCCCTGCTTCACACAACAAGTAGCCACGAAGGATACAAAGTAAGTGTGAACTTGTCTCTCCGACTCTCTTCGAGTACTTCCAAAGCCGGGAGAACATATGCAACCTTATTCCCCATTGTGCTCGGACTACAAAGATATACATGAGAGAGACACAGTGGCGTTGGACAGAGATCGGGGGAGGCAGGTTAGAGACTGTGGCCGAGCACTTTTGCCTTTGGATGTGGTCATTGTCGACCGGCACGACGCACAATCAGGCACCCAGAGGCCTCCGGAATGGGAACACACAGGGCCAGCACTGACAGTGAGAATTTGCAATGATTAATGTTTTATCAAGTGACCTTGTTTTGGGCCCGTTCTTACTTAATTAAAACAAATGGGCTATTTCTGATCATTACCCCCTTGTGAGGAACTTGGACAGGTCTTTAGTGATTTATAATACACTGCTTTTTAAGCTGATACACGATTTAAAGATATATCTGGATATTTGCAGGTTATTTCTAACAATCAGACCACCTGATGCTGTAGAAAAATTACAGGTCGATACATTTATCACATAGCTGACATGCTAGCGCTCTGATATTCTGACAGCAGATCAGAGGTTTGGTCACATATTAACCCCACGTTAACATCATTAAACTATTCCACAAAAGAATAGAAAATAACTGCTTGTACTGCAGCATTGTACCTCTAATAACACAACTATTCACATTAGTCGGAATGAAGGAAAGTGTCATTGTGGTCAGAGAGGGTCAGACAAACAAGCACGAGTACGTAACTGAACAACCAATTACAGGCTGCAGTAAACCTGCCAGCATACAAATGGATCAGTGCAGTGAAGAAAGGCAACAGTGCGTAAGCTCAAAGGTAAAGCGATACACAGCGTGACTCAATGTTCTCCAGATTGTGATTCAAATACGTTAGGCTAGTAACACAACTCAACCTGCTCATCCACGCATTCATTGAAGGGCATTTCTTACTTTTAGAAGGCACCCGCAGGTTGGACATGACAACCAGCATAGAGTCTGCCTGGACCCGAAGGACGTAGCTGGTCACATTTTCATAATCCAAAGGTTTAGCTGTGGAGATGACGCCGGTCATGTTGTTCACCCGAAAATGACCTAGAAACAAACAAAATCAGAGCACATGAGACAAAACTAGATAAGAGAAGTAAGATAATGGATGAACACACTGGTTACTGGACGTGCAGTAGTGTTCTGATCACAGCTATATGGCTCGGCTTTGTTTGCAACCATGGCGCAACAGCACTCTGGGTCTACGTTGTTAAAGCGAAACTCTGCATGTATCACAACTGAATGCATTCATCCTCCTTCACAGGTTCTTTAATCTGGTTCCTTCCCATGTGCAGCCCAATAGAGCCCTTTTAGGACACTTCACACAAAGAACCTGCAACAAAGCTGAGTTCAATTATCCAGGTGCTAACACAGTTGCACCTCTTTCCACATGTACTATAGCTGAACTAAAAGGGTTTGCAGCGGCAGGACTGGAAAGATGTCGTTAGACAATACAAAAAAATAGAATAAAACTCTAATGGAGGCTGCCTTAGTTGCGTTTTTACAATCGTATCTTAGTGTCTGAGGCAAAAGAAAACACAGAAATGAATCTTGCCGAGTTGTCCTACTTCAAATGTAATGGGCAGGTCCTTGTTTCACGGTGATAAAAGACTTTCTCAGGGTGTAATTACGCTTTTCAGACTTCATTCCAGTGAAAAGCAGTCAACAGCGGCAAGTATGTCAAAACATTTCACTTCTACACGAAGACAAGGAGAAACCCCACACAAACATGCATCTGGCAATTTTTGTTTTCTGCACTCTTGATGTTAGTAAGAGCACTTATTATACTGCAGTTTCTTTCATAAAATGTAAAAAATATGGTTTGCATCCTAATGTAGAACAAAAGACTCGGAGCTAACAAGTTACTGCAGAAGGACAAATGAAAAACAGGAACCTGCTATATCATTTTAGTGAGTGTGATTGTAGGAGTGTTTGTATTGGGTTATGAGGCTTATACGATACCTAGTTCATTTCCTGCCACGATGGAGTAGAAGATGGTTTGATTGATAGCAGCCGCCAGAATAGTCCCCACCAAGGTGCCAAGTGGAGCCAGCTCACTAACCAGAGGAAACCTGAAAAAACACAGAACACAAATCAGAACGTAGTGGTCAATTAAGATGCGTATTATACAGATAAAAAGTGTAAAATGGATACTGTGACTACACAGGGTGTCAGAGAAGCTACAGTGCATCTATTTATATTATAAGAAACAATGCAATGTTTGGAAAACCTTCAAACTGATTAATCAGGGTTCACTGAATTCACACTGTGCATAACAAGGATTCTGTACATGATCAGAGTACAGAGCAGGTGTCAATGTGTAAATGACTGATAAGCAATTTAACAACCGGTAATAACTTTGGAAATAACTACATCCCGAAAGCATTTTTTTGCCTTATAGTCATCTGCTTAGTGGCTTCCATTCGGTTTAAATGCCTGATAAATATAAAAAAAGAACACCATGTAACAGCTCAATATAAGTGTTAAAAAATAGGCGCTTATTATCCCAATGTCTCTTTCTATTGCAGCTTCTTTCAGTAGTCTTTCTGTTCACTTCAACTTCACCCAGCTATCCTGGCAACAATATACCACACATTTTTCTTTTTTAGTTGTAACTAAAAAAAAAAAAAGTAGTATGACTCATAAATACATATTTCACAACTGCTTGGACGTATGTGCCATATCTTATTCATTCAATAATAACTACATTGGCTTTGTATCAGAGTGTGGCGGAAAGGAGAGAGCTGACCTATGAAGCACACCTCTCATTTCTCAGCTCAGCCTTTGCCTCAACTGAGAACTATTGTTAAGAGATATAGGTAGTGGCCTCAAGAATGACATTAAAGCCGCGGTTTCTCTGCAAGGTGGCTGGTGCAAGTAGTTTGGCGCTTCAAGAAAACCTTTGTATTGCTCCTTTGTGTTGAAGGTAACCATCAGAACTTGTTTGAGCTCCTTTTGAGGATGCTCTCCTGACAACTTTCTGACGGGGGGGTATCAGAAACCACTTTACTGTGGGGGGGGGGGGGGGGGGGGAGAGACACCAGAGCAGGCATTTCAAATTATGGAAGAATCTGTTCTTTCAGCTTTGCAGACAGTTGAAGTTGAAGTTGAAGATGAAAAGGATGTTTGGGCTGCTCATCCAATTGTGTCTTAAAGCCTGTCCAGGAAAAGCTGTTTAAAGACGGAGTTGACAGAAATTAGTATTGATATGTGCAGAACATATAAATGTTAATTCCACAATAAAAAATGGAAAAAATTTAGTGGTCGAGATTTTTTTCCACTTACAGGTGAGAATTGAACAGCCAACGACTGTGCTTCAGCGTAAAGTGGGTGGAAATCTCCTGCATGATTGTCACCACTCCCCATGGGAATAACTGCTGCCATAAATGGCAGGGAACCATGTTTGGCGGCACGTGTCAGCACGGGCTGATTTGAGCTGATAATGTCATCTCACTGTGACACCCCTCTTGTGATACTGCGACTGCGGTCTCCTTTATACTCTCGTCTCTGCGTGTGTTGTGTACATGTTTGCGCAATGCATGGTGGTACAGTTTATTTTGTAGTTTGACTATCATTCACAGCAGCAGTAAGAAATCTGTGACAGCATGGTGGGAGTAATATTCACAGCGTAATCTGTGGCAGATTCTTTTATATGGTCAGCGTTATGGGGTATTTTTGGGAGAAAACGCCATCTAGACCGGAGTAACATGTTACTCCACTGCTTTGACTTTCCTCCCACAGTTGCAACACATTTTACTGTCCGAATAATACAAAAAACGTGGTTCGGTAAAATTTCTCCGTCAGGGTTGATGGTTTTATATATATAAATATATATATATATATAAAATATATAAATATATGCGGTTACAGGATGATACAGAAGGGAGATTGAGGCGACAATGAGGACTGATAAAGGTATGAAAACAGTTGTGCAAAGATCCATGCGTTTTAACCTTGTTTTTTCAATTGCCTGCTGTACCTGCTATACCTGCATAAACTTAAAATACGGTTTATCAAACAATTTCAAAGCCGGGTATTGATTACATGCATAGCGTGTTTGAAGCCTGAAGCAAGATTTTATGCTCAACCCGATCTTGGCTGTTATTGCAGCCAGAAAAACCACTTTGGGCCTCAGTGTGAAGTCTGTGTGAAGCGGAGGCGGAGGCAAGCGCCATCCACTCCAGCTGGGTTTTATGGGTTGAAAGATCCTCCAAACAAAGAAAAGAAATGCTCCCAAAATACTTCCTTTAGAGACTCGCTGTGTTATTAATAGTCACTTTCAAAACCATCACCAGAAATGTCAGACTACTTAGAAATTGTGACATTAAGTCACTGACACCCCACATGCATCGAACAAACCGGCCTCATGTAAAAACAGGCAAATTCACCAACAATATTTTAACTGCAGAAACAGCACCAGCAGGGGGAGGTTTGCATTCATGATATTTGAATTCTAAACACACTGAATACAGCAAGTTGCTCCACAGGGTGAATGGGATATAATTAAAGAACTTTGCAAATGCAGCAGAGAAAATCTCGATTGACGTAAAGCTTCTGTGGCTCTCTAAAGCAAAGCAGTTTTGCTAGATTGGCAAGTCATGAAGCAAATCACATCGATATAGTCAATTGGGTTTCATGACGTTTTATTAAATCGATTTCCTCTTAGTCAAGTTAACTTCAGTAACACATTTAAGTTCTTCTTTTGTTGTTAGCTTCTAGCTTCAATGAAAACGTCCACATGAGCACCTTGTGTGCAAATGATCTGGACTCATTTGCATGACATATTGTTGGAGATGTGTTTGGAGCATTTTCAAATGGAGATTATTGCCAAGACTCTGATGTTTCAAGCATTCATATATTTGTTTGTGATGAGTACACAAAATTCCTGTTGGAAGTTGGTTCTGGTTTGGTTTTGGCTCAGTTTCGGATCAAATTAGGTGATGCTCAACCATAAAATCAAACATTAATGTTATAAATAAAATCAGTGTTTTTTTTCCCCCTTTTCCCCTTGTGGTTCTGTGTAGACGACCGCTACTTCTGACTCGCATGACAGGTCTGGACCACGTGTCACTTTCGTCATTCCTAAAAGAATATTGAATACCAGAAAATTGGTAAAATTGGTTAATGTCACAAATGATCACATGCTCCTTAGGAAAAAAGCGCAATGACTTTCTGCAGCGGTTCAGGGCCTTTTACAAAAAATAATGTCTTCTTGGAGCAACGACCTGTTGCGTGAAGCTTGCAGTGAGCTGCGTGATGTGATTGCAAGGAAGAGGCAGAGCTGACATGTTATCACTTCCCCACAAAGCAGCTCTACCTGAGGGTTGTACGCTGCTGAGAAATGCCACGGGAGGTGTAGAGGTGTATGACGTTTGCAGATTAGTATTAAGATGTATTCACATGAGCACAGAGAGGATGAGATAAAGGTTACACACAGACGGATAGAATAGCAGACTCAAGAATGAAATAGAAGGATATGTAGATAAATGAAATAGAGGAACAACAATCTACAACTTTTCCAATTATATCTGATAATTCAATGTAATTCACTGAGACTGGAGGAAATCAGAGAAGGTAAATAAGTTTTGTATTCAAGAGTTGTCGTGGCAAAATCCGACGAGTCAATTATGCGTAACGCAAATGTACTCTTGAGCACTTTTCCCCCCTTTGATATTCAGATGCAGAGAAAAGAATCCAGTCCAGAGAGAGACAGAGAGAGAAAAGATGCAGACATGTTTACACGCAGCAGCAGTCTTGGTGTCGACATGAGAGAGGGGGGATGACACGCCACTGAGAAGCGCAGGCGGCACACAGGTGTCGGCGAGCACTCCGCCCCAGGGCCAATGGCTGAGTGATGCTTACGAGACAAGGCAGAGGCGTAGAGAACATTGTCGTGCACCACGGGGGCTTCTGTTACCGTGTTGACTCTCTTTCTACGCCGCCTTCCCTCGCTATGCATGGATGGCACTGTTGAACTCAACAAAGACGGCCATGCGTCATTTAACTTGCATGTGCGCGCTTGCATAAACATTGTGCAGATGAGGTTGCCACGTATTCTGACTGTGTGTTGCAGCACATCGCGGCCTGACTACCAGAGGTGTCAAAAGAGGTCACATTTATTACTCAAGCAGAAGTATAGATAATCGGGTTTAAAGAGACTTCTGTAGAAGTTGAAGTATCAACTCAAGCTTTTTACTTAAGTGAAAGTTTAAAAGTACTGGTTTCAAAAGTACTTAGAGTATAAAAGTGTAAGCTCGCTCACAGAACATGTCAGTCCGTTACAATATTATCGGATGGTGTCTTCAGATCATGTGACCTGCCATTGGGATGATGGAAACGTGGCAATGCTGAAACAACTAAGGGACAAATGTATCGACCCGCATGCTCTTAAACAGATAAAACCAGAACCCATTTTTCCAGTGGCTAAATTACATCGTCCACCGACCACCCAACCTGCCGTTCTGACAGTGAACCTTCCACCGACCACTTTTTGCACCCGGCGTCACTCTGATCTGCATCGCGGAGAAAAGCAATAGGGTGTCTGCATGGTAAATGTTTATACTTCTCATCCAACCACAATAAAATTCACTCTACCCGGATGGTGCAATTTGTCTGGATAGTTTTGTGTGTGTGTGTGTGTGTGTGTGTGTGTGTGTGTGTGTGTGTGTGTGTGTGTGTTTTTGAACGATGACAAGCCAAAATGAAATAGGAGCAACGAGGCTATTTCTAAAATGTAAGGAGTAGAAAGTACAGATATTTGCGTGAAAATGTAAGAAGTAGAAGTAAAAAGTCCTCTGAAGAGTAAATACTCCAGTAAAGTACAGATGCCCAAAATGTCTACTTAAGTAAGGTAACGAAGTATTTGTACTTACTTGACACCTCTGCTCACTACTGATGGTGGTGTTGCAGGGAACATTTCGTTCAGCAATTACGAATCAGCCTAATTCAATGACTGTTAAAGGGGGATATGTGCTCGAGAGTCTGTTATGTCACGCTCGTGTTAAGTTGTTTGTTCCTGCCTGGAAGCACATTGGTAAAATGGTAACAGACCCTTCTGACTCAAATTACACAT